CCCCAAAACCCCAAAACCCCAAAACCCCAATGGTGGAAAATTTAAAAATTGTTAAACATAAGAAATTGATAGATTTATAATTTCGCCATATAAAATCAAGCATTTATATCATTGCAAAATAGTATTAATTTTTTAGGTTCTAATGTATTTTCCGTTTCTATTTAGACGTTTTGAATAACATTAACCTTAAAATCCATATAATCATATGCTTCATTGTTATCATTCTGAGAATTCTCTATATCAGAAAAACCAAAGTTTGATTCTGTAATGTCATCTGCAAATAACTCTTCAATAGGTTATAATTGTGTCTCTGAATTTTAACCATATTACAGTTTCAATTTAAGACTTAATTATTTCTGAGAATTGTCTTAACTTTGCAGCTTTTACTTTGAAGTTTAAATTTCATCACTTATTGTTTCCTCATTTTATTTGTTGAAGAAATCAGTTGTTTACTTTCCAGAATTCTACATTATTTTAATTTTCAAAGTTTTCCTTTTTTTCCTTTTACATAACACCCATAATTTATCAATAATTTGCTTCAACTTTGGCATATTTTCGATGATGATGCAAAATATATTGACAAAAGAAACTGAAAAGATCATAGCAAGAGCAGCCCACCCAAATTGATATCTAATGTTAGGATCAAGCAGATAATCTGTCATCATTATCATAACAATTCCAAATGAAAGAACATAAATCTCATTAAAAATAACCAGATAATTTCTACTTTTAGTTTTAAATGGCATCACAGTAATCAAATAGACCAATTAAATCAGAGAACATTCTATAAATACTATCCATTACAGAAATTAGTAATCTTCGAAAACAAATATAGATATGACTAGAATATATCTTCTTGCTGAGAAAATAGGATAATAAAGTAGAGCATATGTATTGTTAGTTTTAAATTCAGAGATAAGAATTCTAATCCAAATGCATTTTTTAATGTCACGCTCTTTTTTCCTTATGACATAAAGACTCATCAGAGTAGGTATTATTATGCTAATAATCTACAAAAATGTTTGAAATATTAATAAGTTCTTACTGTAAATAAAATAGCAACAAAGGTCGAAAAAGCTACCCCACTATTTTATGATTCTAAATTAAATGTGCTAAGATTAATGATTGAGCATATTAAAATATTAATATACTACTCAGTGAATAATCTTAGAGGAAATTTAAACTTTATTATCCTGCTAATTCTCCTCAATATTTTCAATAACTTTTTCATTTTTTAATTTTTCTTTTTCTTCAACTATCTTCTAGCCAAAATAATTAAAGCTTAGATTACTATTATTGTAGCTGGAATATAAAGAATAAAGATTGTTGCAATGCTCAGATTAATAATTACTAAATTCGATTCATAACCAAAATCTCTAAATCTTTAATTGTATGGTTTTTCCACTTCAATATCCTCAAGCATATAAAATTCTTTTGAAAATGAATCAGAGTGAAAAAAACCAAATCTCATTGAACCTTCAACTAAAAGCAAAAAATAATAAAGATTAGCAGGTGGCTATATTTTTAAAAGAGGTGTTGTGGCTATAAGTTATTATGAATTCACTGCTGCCCATATCATTTGAAATGACTATGAGGTTATGAATTAGGTTCCAATTTAAGATAGTAATAGTGATTAAAGTGTAGAGTTAAAAAATTAGGCTAAGCCTTTTACAATGTCGTAATCATGATCATCAATTTAGGTTGAAGGTTTTATAGCCTAATAGAATTATTTTGATTCTTGCTTAATAAACATTGAAGGATTTGCTACAATAACATAGATTTCGAGAGCAGACTACAGTTAATAAATAGAATAATTCTTACATCAAAAGATGAAATCAAGAGTGGATTTGAAAACTATAGCTATAAATATATTGTATTAGATGTAAATGATTTTATATACCAAGTCATATGTATATTAGCATTATTAATTCTTATATCTATTGCACTTTTTATTTATTCTATGATCTTATCTCTATTTATTGATGAATTTAAAGCGTTTTAAAAGTTTATTTATAATACTCCATTTGGTTATAATTCTTTAACTTGAAATATACTTTATGAAGCAGATGGAGTTGATGGCCTTAATTCAAGATTGGAAATATTAATGTTCTTGACATTAGTATTGTTCATTTACACTTAATCAGAGGGTAAAAATTTTGCATAGATTAAATATTCTGATTTCATTGGCTTTCTATTATTATCTTACAAAATGATCAGAAGTTAAAATGTCTTCAACTCATTAATTCCTGCATCTACTTCGAGATACTATTCATACGTAATTCTAAAGAATTAACGATATTTGTTAACAGTCTATATTTTTATAGTAACTTAATCCTCAGGATTAGGATCATAGTATTCAGGCAATTTTAATTTCAATTTGCCTCCTGCTCTCAGTGTAATATTTAAAGGTGGCTCATAGAATTGAGGAGCGTAATTACGCTTGAAGATTATAGTTTATTCATTTTCTTTTACAATGACATTGAATTAAGTTGAATTGGAGAAATCATCTTAAAGACTGCATTTAAATTCTAGAGAGTATGTCCCAATTAAGTCTCAATTTGTTGTTGAGACTATTAATAATAGTTGACTTTCAACAAATTTAAAAACTTTTGAATTTAAAGCTGTATTATTTGACTATACTAAGCTATAAGTAATGATCGAGTCATTGCAATTCTAGTCATATTTACATATTGGAAATTTTATTATTAATGCTGCATCTCCTAAAACATAGGCAGAGTCAGATATTTATCCCAATATTGGTAAAGTTCTGTTAGTTAGATCTATCAACTGATTAGTTTATTTTCTAAATTGAGTTTCAATCAAGTTATGTATTTAAGGATTAATTACAGTCAAGTTTTTATTAAACTTTTCCATTTGGAGATTCGGAATATCTAAAAATGAGATATTTTCATCAACACTTATTTAGATCGAAGATTATTTTTGTTATTCCATATCAAAGTAATAAGGCCATGGATAATTTATAGCAAAAGCAATAGGTAAATCATTTGCAATTACTATAAAAAACCCACAAAGCACTCCTTGATCAAGCTTTATATAATTATACGACAAAAAGTAAAATTATAATCCATTTTATGCTGAGTAAATAACTTTATATTTCTGATCGAAAATTCCTAGATTAGAGTAATCTATTATACAAAATATAGCATAGCTTGGATTACTAAGAACAGTATTTAAGGCTACACCAATTTTATTATGAAGAGGATCAAAGTAATAGCTAAGCAATTCTATATTATCTGGATTTTAGAAAAGAATTTATCTTTTAATATTAAAGACTAATTTTCCTGTCAAATTAACCTCTAGCCTATAAATAGAGAGAAATGGATACTTATTTGAGTCAATGTTACCATAATAAATAAGATATCTCTCAATATCTTAGTTCGTCTAAAATGCTTATTCTTCATAATTAGATTACTTATAGTAATTGATTTCGTTACCAATGTTTATAATAGTTGATGAATTTACTCTCATGTCTGATATATTTAGCCTTATTATTAAAGAAGTTGTAAAACTTTAGATTTTCTCACTTTATATTATCAACTAATTTAATTGTTGCTAATAATACAATAAATTGCTGTTATAGTCTTAATATTTGAATTTATAAAAATCAAATCTGTCTTTATCCTATAAAATCTTAAAAATATAAACTTACAATACTATAACACAATAACAACGGCAATAAAAGTTATTAATCTTAGTCTTGATATTATGAAGTTAGATAATAATTCTTCCCAATGATTACAGATTATTTGAAAAATGGCATAAAATCTATGCTGCAAAAGGATTTCATAGACTTTCCAGTCGTAATATTAATAATCCCAAAACAATCATTACTTGCTGAAATCCATATAAATTACGATAAATCTTAAGATACAAATATTAATCGATTCAGATCATTATAGCCATAATAAGAGATATTGTACAGCCTGAAATTAACTGGTTTCATTTGCTTATTTAATTTTTATGTGAACATTTCAGGCCTGGTTCAATTGGCTTAATTATAATAGAATATGCTCCCAAAAATTTAATAACCTTAATAATCTGGGGATTGGTAAATTTTGTTATAGAGAATATCACCAGTATAATAACCATCTGAGCCGTCGCTAAATTAGAATACTCGAGAAAATGATTCAAAGCAGTTGAATGTATCAATTTAGCAATTAACTGTAAGATTTTACTGTAGAATTAAAAGAAATAGCCAATGTAATTTTTAATGATATTTTCCTAGCATTTTTAAATTATTTATATTTAATACGAATATTTGAATTTTCTTATGATGTTAATAGTTATATTTCAATATCTATAATCCTCTGAGCATATCAAAACTTAGTTTATAGGGGTTTTGGGGTTTTGGGGTTTTGGGG